CTTCCTTCCCCCCGCCCCCTCGCGCGGACCGTCGGTGGCTCCCCGCGCCGTCCCGCCGCTCGGACGTGGCTACTTTGGGGGTGGGGGTGGGGGTGGGGGTGGGGGTGGGGTGGGGAGCGCAGTATAAAGGGTCGGAGGCGGCGCGGGCCGAGACCTAGACGTGGCGCGTCCACTCTCCCGGCCTCCGCTCCAGGTACGTGTGCGTCCCCGGCCGAATCGGCCGAGCGGTGTGGGGGTGGGCGGGGGCCGCGGAGTCCTCTCGGACTCCCGAGATGTGTGAGTTTTTGTTTTTCCCTTTTTGTGTGACATCCTCTTGCGGGCTCTGAACTGGAAACTCTAACTTAAAGACCACGAGAGTCGCTGCGGGTTCTCGGAGGAGCGACTTGTGGGGTGAGCCTCCCGCCTAGTTTGGGTCGATTTCAGCGGAGTTCAGTCAGAGACAGGAACAAATCAGATGAACCAGGGAGGCAGTTGAGCACTAAGAGAGGCGCTCCCGGATGGACAAGGTTAGCGCGTCCAATTCTGGGGCCAAATGTTACTTGTTGCACTTTTGCAGAATCTTTGGGATCTATGGAGCAAGTACTCAGGTGAAAAGATTCATAATAGTGCATTAAAGTACCTTTCAAGACTCCTAGAATTTGATACTTTTTAGCAAAGCATCTGCTCAGAACTCTGAAGAGCAGCGCCTGTCCCTTTTCCTCTGGGTGAGGGTGGGGACAGTATCTCTGGGCCTTTTTGTCTCCGCGTGGGCCTCTGAGTGTGGCTTTCAAGTTCCCCTGCATAGGGAAGCGCGTGGACGCCCCCCGCCGCGGGCCTCTCTTAGCTGGTGACATAGGATGTCCCTGTGACCCACACTCACGAATGGCTCCAGAGCGGGTTGTGGACATACCCCATATGGAAAGGGGCCGGCATGCCCATGACTGTGCCACTGAGCTCATCTGTGCAACAGAGAACCCACCACTGGCTGGAAGGTGTGTCATAGCCTGTCATATCCAAGAGAAAGACGATAGAAATACAAATTGACATTGAACTTTTACTTTGTAGAAATAATTTTTAATAAAAGAATTAAATGAAAGCAATCCTGAAGGTTTCTATAGAAGCCTAGTGCAGCCCAAAATCTCCAATCACTCTCTCTCTCTCTCTCTCTCTCTCTCTCTCTCTCTCTCTCTGGTGCTGAGCTGCCTGGGTACTCAAGGCCTCACTCTGAGGAAATGTCAGTAGCTGGGAGCCTCTTGGAGAAGCATTCTTCCCTGGGTTGAGTTGGGGGCACTCAGGCCTGGCAGCTGCCTGGCTCCTGGGGACCGTAGTGAACAGCTTAACAGTTCTGCGCTTGGCATGAGGGGCACTAGCTCCATTCCTGACATTCCGATTCTCTTGCCTACGTGGCACAGAGGCCTAGGAACGCCCTGGGAGGAGGAGGCACCCTGGGAGGAGGAGGCTGCCAAGGTCTAGCCTGGCTGCTCTGCTCCTGGGTTGGGGGGGGAAGGGGAGGGAGGGCATTGCCTTACTCCTGGCTTTGCAGCCCTTGGGTGCTTGGGTACCTTTGGAGCCTCCAGCCGCCAGGGCAAAGGGAGACGGAAATAAAGATCTCGATGTGTAATTAATCCTTGTCCTTGGCTTTCAGAATTACAGTTAAAGGTGTGTACACTTAAAAAAAAAAATCTTGGCATACAGAGAGAGCTTAGCAGTGGGAAGAAAATAGCTTTCTACACCATAACCCAGGGCTGATAAGATAACGTTTAACTCAATAAATTATGTAACTTTATGTGTATGTGGAGGAGAGAGGTCAATTAGATGGGCAGTTTACAGGCTACACCCAAGCATTGTTAAAATATGAATGTTTAATGATAATGATTTACAAATTAATACTGGGGACAGACGAGAAACGAAAGAGTAAATTAGAGGGTGTCCTTACAGTGAAATGGCCCTCAGCTGAGGTCCATTGATTTCACCTTGCGACTTAGGGAAAGTTCCTTAACTTTCCTGAGCTACCCTCTCTTCACCTGGAGCTTAAAAGAACCTGCCCTAGGTGTGTCCTTTGTAAGCTCTGAAAGAGAAAGGAGGTGATGTGAGTACTCAGGGCCCAGCACAGAAGTAGGCTCTCTGCAATCAAATTATTTTAAAGCCTCCACAGGTGTTTCGTTCTTCCAAATGAAGTTCCTGAGTGTGTTTTTGTTATTTGTTTTTTTAACATTTGCTCACTGTTCCTACAGTAAGCTTCTTATCACATGATAGAATTAGAGGTGATACTTTCGAAACAAAACTCTTCAGTTCTCTTTTAAAAATAAACGTAGGGCTCTCCCTAAACTTTTATGTCAGCCATGCACACAATGTAAAAGAATGAGAACACCAACCAAGCACTCGGTGAAAATGATGAATTTTGGGGCGCTGATTCATGTGACCTGAAAAACGCCATCCATTTCCTGATTCACCTCCATTTCTGTGGCCAAATGAAGGATCTCTTCTGTCTCTGAAATAATTAACGGCTTTTTTCTTGTCTGTATGTCTCTCCCTTGTGCTTGAATTTCAGCTACATCGATAAACTGCCACCTCCGAGGGGAGCCGCAGGGAGGGGGCTGAAGAGAATGTCACCTGGTGGAGCTGCCGATGCTGCTGTGGTCAGGAGTGACCTTCAAGGGAAACCTCGGTATCTGTGACCTTTACGACGCCCGGGACTGTATTAGTGTCATGAAAAACCCCAGTCCAGAAATCATGGCTTATGGATATTTACATCTTAACTGGATTTTCCTACAAACAAGCCAGGAACGCATTACAGTCTCCAGAAATGTTCCTTTTTTCTACTGTTTTCCTTTTTTAAGATGTGGCATTTAAGAATTGAAAAAACTGCTAGATCCTCTGATCAGCCCCATTAGTTTTTTTCTTAAAATGGCCATTGATAAAACGACATGCAGTTTTTATGCCTCACTAAGATTGCCTCATGCTGGTTTTGGTTCATATAGTATTTTAAGTATTTGAAAGACTCATGATATGGCTACAGATAATGCTGTGATGCTTCCCAAAGTCTTGAGAGAAGAATCACCAAGTAGGGAGAGTTCAGGGAGCCATCAGCCCCGACTCAAGTCCCTTGAGCTGCACCAGGGTTCTTTAGGGTTTTTACCCCTAGAAATGCTCACTCCCCCTTTAGTGTAGCAGCCCACTCCCATGACAGAGGTAAGCAGGCTAGTTTTATTCAAAACAACAGCCAGAAACTAAAACAGAATACAAACAAAATAGTATGGCACATCTGAGAAGGAGCTGGGGATGGGACAAAGTGTGGGGTCCTGGACCTTAAAGGGAAGGACCAGGGCAACCACAAGGGCACCTGCTGGCCAGCCCTCTGCCTGTCAGTGCACTGGACACTTCATCACACTCCCTTCTCTGGAGTCTGAGTTCCACCCACCCCCACCCAGGGCCTGCTTCCAGCTTCTCATGTCTGCCAGCAACGTTTTGCTCCTGCCAGCTGTACCACAGAGGCTGGCACAGAGCAACCTGGTCATCATCCAACCCAGGTGAGCTTCCTCACCTTTGCGCTCTCTAGACTAGAGCTCACTCCACAGGTGAAAACCACCTCCGCAAGTATTTTTGCCTTGTCTTTTTTGTTTGTTATTTTTCTTTTTATTGCCTTGTCTTTATGGTTAAATTTCTTGATATATTTTTCTAGTAACCCAATTCCCTTACAATAAAATTGCTGTGCTCGAAATACCTCAAGTTGCCTTTTTATAAGTATGTTCTGAAGAGAGGGAAAATGTTGGGTTTAAAAGATTTTTGGAATACCTAGAGGAAATTCAGATGGTTTGTGGCATGGAGATAAAGCATCCATATGGTTTCCTGAATGTTATTTTCTGACATGAAGCCTTGTGTATATCTTGAGTGTCTATAACTGAAGAATGGCTGTGCTTTTATAACAGATATGCTTGATACCCATTAATCAATGTCCTCTATATTACTGTGTTTGAAAATAGATTTTTGGGAGAAATAAGTACATTTGGCAATAAATTTTCAAAAATAATGTTCATCCTACATAGATTTAGAAATACAAATTACTCTGCCTTAGTTTATTCCATGGTTTACTAGGGAGATTAACTCATGATGCCCTTGAGGTAATTGAAAAGAATATCTGCTAAGTGAAATTGACCAGGAGGCAAAGTGTCTCCTGAAGCATATAAGTGGGAAGATGAGCTGTCAAGGATCCCGTCACCCTTCTGTCAATTCTCATTTCAGATCCTCCTTTCCATTCCTACCGTTGCCTCCTTAATTCAGAATATCAGCTCACCCGGAGCACCAACAACTCTTACTGGCCTACAGGTCTCCCTGTGCCCCTGGTCTATACCACTATACCAACAACACAATCATCCTTAATAACGGACCTGATTTTATTTGAATTGCAATCTGCCTGGCTTTAAAAGATTTTTAAAAAAGCAACTTTCCTAGAACTTAGCTGTAGTCAGTAAGATGCAAATCGGTGGGAATCCAAGAAAGTTCTTGGTAAGAGGGAGCAACAACTAGCTGTGTGTGACCTTTCTTGCCCTACCCTCCTGAAACTGAGGGTCCATATGACTTTGATTAAATTTATTTTTAAATCCTAGCTCTAGAAATCATCTCTCTCTCTCTCTCTCTCTCTCTCTCTCTCTATATATATATATATATATATATATATATATATATCCCTCAGAGACCTGGCCTTTCCCCCACATAATCAGCAACCCCCAAGGCAGCAGAAGACCACAGCCTGGACTTGCCTAATGGTCACACTCTCTGGAGCTGTGCAGGCTAAAGATGACATTTTGACCTTAAGTTACATCTGAAATGACCCCCTGGCTACATTCCCATGAGAGTGGACAGAGGGACTCCAGAAAGGACCCCAAAGTTGCCTTCAAGACCTTAAGAAATTATTTATTACCCGTACCTCACCTCTGATCAATCTGCTCCCAGCATGGCCCTGAAACCCTAATGACTGGGGTTACCAACTGGGACCAAAGATGTTACCAGCAAGACGAGTAGACTTTGGTTCTTGTCTTCTTGAAGGAAAGGTTTCAATCAAGAGACAAAGTGTAGAAAAGCAAGCAAGAATGTATTGACTGTACCAAAAACACACTTAGGACAGTGAAACAAGGACGGGCATAGATTAGAGGAAGCAATGGGAGAGCCTAGGCTGAGCTGCTCTGGCTCACTGGGAATCAGAGAAAAGGGGGCCTTGGAGACAGGTTCAGGGGTTAGCCCGGGACAAGCTCCCGCTGCCCACTGCTCCCCTGGTTGCAAGTCTCATGGGATCCCTTAGAGCAGTGGTTCTCAACCTTCCTAATGCCGCGACCCTTTAATACAGTTCCTCATGTTGTGACCCCCAATTTCATTGTTACAAATTGAACATAATTAAAGCATAGTGATTAATCACAAAAACAATATGTAATTATATATGTGTTTTCCAATGGTCTTAGGCAACCCCTGTGAAAGGGTCGTTCGACCCCCAAAGGGGGCGCGACCCACAGGTTGAGAACCACTGCCTTAGAGGTTAGGGATACATGCCTGTGGGGGAAGGAGAGAGGAAACGGAAAGGCACAGGCATGCTCTCTGAGGGACAGTGCACTGGGACCTTCATTTTCAGGGGTTTTAAAGGCTGGGCATTTAGTGGAGCTTTTAGGGGAGAATCAATAGACTATTCATCAGCTTTATGCTAATGTACCAAAATGAGATTCATTCTCTTCAATTTGTCTGTTCTTAGGTGTGGTTGGCAAATGGCACTTGGATTTGTTACCTGTCTCCCTGAGGAGGGTGTTTAAACTATTTACCCTCTGATTGGGGAGGAGAAGTGCAAACCATTTACTCTTAAGTGTTCCTGGTTTAGGGAAGATAGGATTTACTAGGTGGGTGCAAACTGCTGTTTAACTATGTCTTAGTTTCCCTATTCTGCTTGTCCTAGAATTTTCCTAGCTTCTTACTGTTCTATAACAGTCACACTGTCGGGACCTCTGGCAGGCTAAAGAAAACATCTTGACCTAAATTATGTCTCATTTCCTGAGCCTAAAGGTGAAATGACCCCCTGGCTTCATTCCCATGAGAGGGACAGAGGGACTCGAGAAAAACCTCAAAGCTGCCCTCAAGACCTAAAGAAATGATTTATTACCCTTTCCTCACCTCCGATCAATTTGCCCCCAGCATGACCCCAAACCCATGGTGTCTTGTGATTTTGCCCTAAGCATATAATCTGTTACCTACATGCCATCTGGGAGCCGGATTTTTAGTGTTAACTCCCAGTGTCTAGGCTGGCCAATTCAATGTTAAACTATTTTGCAAACTCCTTCTCATGCATTTCTTTGGGCCAGTGTGTGCAGGCAGGCAGACCCAAGGAAAAACACTGGGGTTCCAGTAACATCTCACTTCTGAATTCCTGCCTGGAACTTAACTGTGATAGTTGAAATCCCAGCCAACCTCTGGGACTGTAAGGTAACCTTGAGGATATAAGCCATGAGCCAAGAACAGGAGAGCTGAAAATAAGGAACCTGAATTCCTGGTGACCCTCTGGAGCCCCCATCTCAGCCATGGACTGTCACCTCCAGACTTCATAACAGGAGAAACAAATAACTTTCCCTTCGGTTTTGTCCACCACTGTTCCCGTTCTGGGTTTAGAGGAGAATGTGATTTCTAGCAGAAGAAGGTAGAAGGCTTGTCCCGATCTGGCCTCCCTGCGTCCTCCTCTCTCAACATTACCACCCACTTGGCCCTCCCTCTGGCTCTGCTTTCCGGCTTTCAACCAAGTTTGTTGCACAGCATGTGCCCTGGCACAGACAGTGCACTAAGAATAGAATAGAGCAGCACAGAGCCAATCCCTGCCCTTGTAGGAATTACAGTCTTTGGGAAGAGGTAGGGATCAAGGACTGATCCCACAAGCATGTAATCATAAGCCCTGCTAAATGCTAGGAAAGACAAGTTTGGGGATGTCTGGTTTAGTCTGGAGAGTCAGGACAGGCATCACTAAGGGTGGCATTCGAGCTGACATTTGAGGGATGAGTAGTGATTAACAAGTAAATAAGGGAAGGAAGTGAGATTCCAAAGAAGAGTGGAGATATTTTAGAATTTAACTCAAACACACTTGTTAAAATACCTAGGATGGTAATTGAAAAAAGAAAAAGGAGAAGGAGAAGGATGAGTAGGAGGATGAGGAGGAGGATGAGGAGGAGGAGGAGGAGGAGGAGGAGGAGAAGAGAAGGAGAAGGAGAAGGAGAAGGAGAAGGAGAAGGAGAAGGAGAAGGAGAAGGAGAAGGAGAAGGAGAAGGAGAAGGAGAAGGAGAAGGAGAAGGAGAAGGAGAAGGAGAAGAAGAAGAAAGAAAGAAGAAGAAGAAACATATATAATCTTCTAAAACAGTAGAGAGGGGAAAATGAAATGAAGATAACTTGATCAATCCAGGTGAAGGCTGGAAAGGAAAAAAAAAAAGAGGAAAGTAAAGAAATGTAGAAAGAGAAGAACTAGTAGAATTTCAGTAAACATGTTGTGGACCAAAAAGGGGCCACACACTAAACATGAGAAGCTCAAGGGAGGCCTGCATAGGACTTACAAACTCAGACCTAAAGTCACCACATAGGAAGGTCTAAAATGAAAACTTTCTAACTAAAAGCAGTTCATGGCAGGTAGTCTCCTAAGGTGGTATTTTTCCTAATAAAGGTGAATCTTTACCGTAAGGAGCTTGTCAAGTCTCCATTTATCCCCCTTTATATCCTCCTCTGTCCTCCCCCTAGCAATCACCATATTACTGTCCTGGTCCATGAGTTTTTCCTTTTTTTTCTTTTTTGCTCTATCTCTTCCCCCACCCATCCAGTAAACCACATTTATGATAACTTACGGAACATAGAAGACAATGAAAATCAGAAAGATTCATATTTTGTATGAAAATACAACATAAAAAGTTTATGTGATGTAGCTAAAACAGTATTTACATACAAAGCATTAAATACTTATATTAGGACAGAAGGACTGAAATTGACAAGCTAAAAGTCCAACCCAAAAAGTCAGAAAAAGTGCAAAGGGAAATAACATAGTTAATATCACATATTAATGAAAGGCTATAAAGGTACAATAGAAAGAGTCAACAATGTCAAAGCTGTTTAAAAAAATAAGTTGAATAAAATAGACCAACCTCTGGTAATATATATAACTCACTCAAAAAATTTTGTTTTAGAAAACTAAAAAGGAAATAAGAATTCAGATACACTTACAATCATTAAAGAAACTGAATCAATAAATATATAACAAGTAAAACAGACACACATTCCTGAAATGGCTTTCTAGGAAGATCCTACCAGATATTCAAGACTCATCCCTATTTTATGAAAGTTATTCTAATGAATAGAAAAGTCATAGGCTCAAGTCACAAAATTCAAGGATGTTTTATCACTAGAAAACATACTAATATAAATCATCTCATTGTCAACATAAGAAATGTCCAAACTGTAAAAATGTTTATGAGTTTATTTGAGCCAAACTGACAATTGTCAGGAAGCAAATTCTCAACAGATAGAGAAAATGCTCCAGAAAATGTCAGTGTTAATCACTTATTTTATACGTCACAATCAAAGGGCAAGAAATCGCTGGGATTGGATAAAAAGGAACAGGACTCTAGGCACATACTTATTTTACACAGGTGGGCATAGGCTAGTTAATAGTCAACAATTAATACAATAACACTAACAATGAGGGGATCTGTGGTCTC